AGATTTTTGACTTGGACATGGATGCCATTGTAGCAGCCTTGCATGTGATGTATGCTGATGACTCTAGTGTGCTTCCCTCCTATTACCCTGTGTTGCCTAGTGTAGATGTGCCTATCGTAGACTCCCCTGCTGCGCCAGGCGTAGGATCTCCTGCTTTGCTTAGCCTCGGTGCTTCCACCACTTCACTGCCGCCTCGCGCGACTGCTGCGCTTTCCTTCACCTTGGACTCTGGCGCCTCCCGGTGTTTCTTCCGCGACTCCACGACGCTGACGCCGCTGCCTGTTCCCGCTGCAGTTACTCTTGCTGACCCCTCCGGTGGTCCCGTCGTTGCCCGCAGTTCCACCTCCCTTCCCTGTCCGGCGGTTCCTTCAGGTTCGCTCACAGGTCTGCATATCCCCTCGTTCTCCAGGAACCTAGTTGGTGTCGGCTGCCTCCAGGACCTTGGCGTCACCACTACGTTCCCTGGTCACGAGCGGTATGCTGTCTGTACCGAGGCCGCCACTGGTGCCCCCCTTACCACTTTCCCCCGGGACCCGGTGTCCGGCCTGTTCACACTTGACACCGCGACTTCCCCGGCTGGGTCTTCCCCCCAGGTCGCTGCGTCCACCCAGGTTGCTGCTGCGTGCTCCTGTCGGTCCCTCACTCACCCGACTCTCCTTTGGCACCACCGCCTTGGTCACCCTGCACTCCCGCGTCTGCGTCACATGTCCCAGCACGGTCTCGTCCTTGGTCTCACGGGTTCGTTCCCCGAGTTTCCCTCCTCCCCCGCCCCCCCGTGCACGCCTTGTGTCGAGGGCCGGCTCCGCCGTGCCCCTCACTCCTCCTCGTTTCCCCCTACCACCGCACCCCTGCAGACTCTGCACATGGACGTCTGGGGCCCAGCCCCGGTCCATGGGCCGCGTCGCGAGCGCTTCTTCCTAGTGCTTGTCGACGACTTCACGCGCTACACCACCGTCTTTCCCCTGGAGCGGAAGGCCGACGTGCCTGACGTTCTCATCCCCTGGCTTGTCTCTGCTCGTGTCCACCGCGGTCTCCCTGCCTTGCGCCTCCACTCCGACCGGGGTGGCGAGTTTGCCTCAGGTGTCCTTGGTCGCTTCTGTCGTGCGGAGGGCATCACCCAGACGTTTACCCTGCCAGACTCCCCGCAGCAGAATGGGGTCGCTGAGCGACGCATCGGTTTGGTCATGGAGGTGGCTCGCACCTCCATGATCCACGCCGGTGCACCCCATTTTCTGTGGCCGTTCGCCGTGCGCTACGCCGCTCACCAGCTTAACCTGTGGCCGCACCCCCAGCGGCCGCCGGTTTCGCCGACCCTTCTGTGGACCGGGTCCCCTGGTGACGCGTCTGCGTTCCACGTCTGGGGCTGCCTGGCTCACGTTCGTGCCTCTGGCACGGACAAGCTCACTGCCCGCACCCTCCCCTGTGTCTTCCTCGGTTTCCCCCTTGACGCGTCCGACTGGCACTTCTACCACCCGCCGTCTCACCGCTTCTTTCACTCTCGCGATGTCACCTTTGACGAGTCCGTCTCCTTCTACCGCCGCTTCCCCCACCGTGGTCCCCCGGTTACTCCCCCCCTGTTCCTGGTCCCTCCTTCCCCGGTGGTCCCTGCCCCTCCCCCCCCCCCGCCCCCCCGTCCGGCCCCCTCTGGTGTGTCTCACGTCACCCCCCTCCCGTCGGTCGTCCCGGTCGCCGAGTTTTCTGACTCTGGTAGTCCTCCGGCGCAGTCCTCGCCGTCAGTCCCTCCCCCGGTGTCTCCTCCTCCACCGCCTCTGCAGCCGCTGTCGCCGCGGCTGCTGCAGCCGTCGTCTCCACCGCCGCCGCCGTTGCAGCCGTCGTCTCCGCCGCCACCGCCGTCGCGGCCGTCGCTGCAGCCGCCGCCGCCGCCGCAGCAGTCGTCGCTGCCGCTGTTTGTGGACTCTGGGGGTGCTGGCGTTGAGGTGGGTACTAGTCCCGAGGCTCCTGTCGTGGCTTGTCCCGGCGGGCCTGGGGGTGGTACCGGTGCTGGCGGGGTTTCGTGCTCTGGGGGTGTCCCTTCTGGGGGTGCCGGTGCGGAGGGTTCGGGAGGTAGCCGTCGCGCAGCTTGTGGCCCTGGCGTTGGTGTTGTGTCGCCGCAGCAGCAGTCCCCGCCGGTGTCCGCCCTCCGTCTGCTCGGCCTTCCGTCCCCTGACCCTGCGCCTGTTCCTCACCTGCCGTCTCCTCCTCTTCCCGTCTACGGCCCCGTGTTCCCTCCGCCGGACTCGTCCCCGGCTCGTTTTCCCCCTCGTTCCCCACCAGTGTCCCCTCCTCGGTCTCCTGACCCGACGCCTCCCTCTCACGTCTGGTCTCGCCGCCCCTCCCGTGCTCGTCCTGTCTCCCCCGTCCCGCGCTCTCACCCTATGTTGCTCCGGTCCCACGTGTCTCGTCCTCCCCTCCTCCCGTCTCCTCCTCCGTCCTCTCTTGTCGTTGCGTCTCCTCCTCTGTCTGACTACTTTCGTGCCGCTCGTCCTCTTGTTCCTCGGGTCCTTGCCTCTCTGGTTACAGACCCGTCTGTTCCAGTGTCGAGTCTTGACGCCCTTGTCGCTGCGGTCGTTGACTTCGCCTCTACCCGCCGCCTTGACTACGCTACCGCTCTGGTCTCCGACCCTGCCTGTCCTCCGTCTGTCGGGGGTGCTCCTGCCCTCGGCAGTGACGTCCTGGAGGACCGCCAGTTTGAGCTTGCTTTCCTGTCCGAGGCTGCTCCCCATCTCTGTTCCATGCTGCTAGTCCCTGAGGGTGACCCAGACGCTTTCGACATCCCGACCCCTCGTACTTACGCTGAGGCGGTTTCGGGACCCTGGGCCTCTCAGTGGATAGCTGCCATGGAACAGGAGATGGCATCTTGGAGATCCACCGGCACCTTCGTCGACGCAGTTCCCCCACCTGGGGTGAACGTGGTCGATGGCCGTTGGCTCTTCAAGGTGAAGCGCCCTCCTGGAGAGCCGCCTGTGTTCAAGGCGCGCTACGTGGCTAGAGGCTTCAGTCAGCGCGAGGGGGTGGACTTCTTTCAGACTTTCGCTCCTACGCCGAAGATGACTACTCTTCGCGTTCTGTTACACGTAGCGGCTCAGCGTGACTACGAGCTTCACTCCCTCGACTTCTCCACTGCCTTCCTTCAGGGCAGCCTTCACGAGCAGGTCTACCTGCATCGTCCTCGGGGCTTTACTGGCACTTTCCCCCCTGGGACCCAGTGGCTTCTGCGGCGTCCAGTCTACGTCCTGCGCCAGGCGCCTCGTGAGTGGCACGACACGCTGCGTGCTACCCTTGCTAACCTGCAGTTCTTTCCGTCCTCTGCAGACCCCTCACTCTTCGTTCGTGCTGGCCCGACTCCGTTCTACATCCTTGTCTACGTAGACGACCTGGTCTTTGCCACAGCTGACAGGGACGCACTGGCCTCCGTGAAGGCAGAGCTGCTGAAGAGACACACCTGCACTGACCTTGGAGAGCTGCGCCGTTACCTTGGCTTGCAGATCTCCAGGGACAGAGCCGCGCGCACCATCACCCTGACTCAGTCACACTTGGTGCGCCAGGTCCTTCAGAGGTTCGCCCTTCAGTTCTCCTCTGCACAGCCCACCCCTCTTCCTCTGGACCACAGACTCTCCGCTCCAGTTCCTGAGGAGTCGGTAGATCCCAGTGGTCCTTACTCTGAGCTAGTGGGTTGCCTCATGTACCTGATGACTTGCACTCGCCCAGATCTCGCATACCCTCTCAGCATCCTGGCTCGTTTCGTGGCCACAGGCAGACACCGACCTCAGCACTGGTCCGCCGCTAAGAGGGTTTTGCGTTATCTTGCAAGTACATCGGGCATGGGGTTAGTGCTAGGCGGATGCAGGCCAGTGGTCCTTACTGGACACACAGACGCTTCTTGGGCAGACGACGCCGAGACGCTCAGGTCTTCCCAGGGCTACTGCTTTAGCCTTGGCTCAGGTGCTGTCTCGTGGAGAGCTACCCGCTCCTCGTCTGTTGCCCAGTCCAGCTGTGAGGCTGAGATCTACGCCGGTGCCATGGCGGCACAGGAGCTCCGCTGGCTGACCTTCTTGCTCACTGACTTAGGTGAGCGGCCTAGCTCTGCCCCGGTCTTGTACGCTGACAACAGGGCCATGATCCTCCTGTGTCAGGAGCCTCGACTCGAGGGTAGAGCGAAGCACATCCAGCTGCGGTACTTCCTCCTGCGCGAGCTCCAGCAGCGTCGCCAGGCTCGCGTAGTACACTTGGCCTCCGGTGCCAACACAGCTGATATCTTTACGAAGGCGCTTGCGCCTAAAGATCATCAGCGGCACTGTGTACAGCTTGGTCTGGTTCCTGTAGTCCCTCACTTACTCGGGCCTTGACTTTGTACTGTCCTATATATATGTGTACACTCAGACTGGACTTGTGTCCTCTCACAGTGGTTGGACTAGTAGTGCCGCCCTGTACTTGTTCTTGTCTTGTCTGTACTCCTTCTGACTGGTCTTTTAGACCCTTGCCTCAGAGGCTGGACTAGTAGTGCCGCCCTGAGCTGCTTGTTTAGGACATTCCCCTATGCAGTCCTGGGGGTGTGTCAAACATGTTTATTGATCATGTTTGTATAGACTGTATAAGGTAACCTCCTAGAGGGTACAACATTTAGGTATATGTGCATGTACTCTCTAACTCTATTATTATTCAATTCTAGTTTTAAGACTTGATTGTGTACTCCTCTTTGTATATACCTTTAGGACTGGCCTTGTGGCTTCGCCTCCAGTGGTATGACTAGTAGTGCCGCCCTGGTTTGCTCTTTTCTTGTTGACTGGTCTTCGGACCCCTGCCTCAGAGGTTGGACTAGTAGTCCCACCCTAAGCTGCATGTTTCTTGCTCAGCACTGCCCCTTATCTAGCCTAGGTGGTGTGTCAACTTATACATATATTTGTATATAGAGGTTATAAGCTAGATAGGTTAGTGTTCTTAGAGGGTACAACTCCAACCCTCTATCTCCCTTGTTCTCCTTTGTTTCTATTAATTCTCCTATTCTAACAGATTATACTATATATGGTGTATGTGTTTACATAGGCAGAATAATGCATTCAGCAGCACCAAACCAAGTTAGGCGACATTCTTTTTTAACAATCAGTGGATAGATAGTTAAACAATCGAAGTGCGCCATTCCAAACTGCTCATTCACTCAGCTCAGCGTGCGGGAGCACTAGCCCCCTTCCCACATCGAACCCCAGCGTACTGGCTACCAAGGACACTGCTGGTAGGTAGCATGGGAGTCAACGGCGAGACGTGCTGGCCCCAGTCCTGCGCTTGGATGATGACCGCTGCTCCTCCTCCCGCTCCTCCTTCCTCATCTGCCACACACAGCAATGCATGGCAGCACATGCACAGCAAGACATGCAGGGCGGCACATGCACAGCAAGACATGCAGGGCAGCACATGCACAGCAAGACATGCAGGGCAGCAGAACAAAGGTATCACAGTGCAACAGAGTTCATTAGATTTGAAGGAGAATGGCAGATGGAGCTTGGATCATTAGGAGGTATGCTCGAGCGCGTCGGAGGGGTTGCGCACTAGAGTCAACAGGCATGCCATGCAGGCAGTGGCAAGCCAATGAGAGGGATGCAAATGAGAGGGATGCACGCATCACATGAACCATGCAGCCGCTAGAGCACAGAGTGGTCACAAGAAGTGGTTACCAGGATGAGGAGCTCTGACGAGGATGAGTAGGACTTGCCCAATGACAGCAACCAAATCCAGCAGCACATCGCGAGGTGATGCCACATGATGCGAGATGATCCAGGCACTCACTAGAGCAATGAGATCTCACCAGAATGAAGAGCGTGCAGACGAAGACAGCAACCAAGTCCCAAAGCAGCTCCAGCATGTCCACCGCGTGGCCCCAACGCCCTGGCTTGAGGCGCTTTGGTATGCGACTCACGAGGACAAAGAGCAAGCGCACTCACCAGGGGAACAGCACTCACGAGGATGAAGAAGATGTGAACAAAGACCGTGACCAAGTCCAGCAGCAGCTCCAAGGCGTCCACCACGTGGTCCCTTTGGCCATGTCTTGGGGCAGGCCTTGATGCGTGACTCACCAGAATGAGCAGCACTGACAAGGAGGGAAGAGCTCTTACCAAGATGAAGAGGATGCGCACAAAGACCGCCACGAAGTCCAGCAGCAGCTCCAAGGCGTCGACCACGTGGTCCCGGTGGCCCTGGCAGGCGCGCTCCACCACCATCTGCGTGTCGTAGATGATGTACCCCGCGAACACAAGGAGGCCGCCGTACAGCTGGTGGGCGGGGCAGGGACAGGGAAGGAGCGGGAAGAAGGACGAGTGAGTGATGTATCAGTTGACCGGCTTTACCAGCCGCGCTCGCCCGCTCCACCACCATCTGCGTGTCGTAGATGATGTACCCCGCGAACACGAGCAGACCACCGTACAACTGGTGGGCACAGGGGCGCAGAAAGGGAGGAAAGTTGGGAGAGAAAGTGAGGTAATGTAGCCCGCTCCACCAGCATGTGCGTGCCGTACGCAATGTGACCTGAGGAAAACAAGGAGGCCACCGTACAGCTGTTGGTGGGAACTGAGAACGGAGGGAGCAGGAAGTAGGGAGCAGGAGCAGGAACAGAAGCGGGAACGGAGGGGAGAGTGAGAAAATACACCCCCGGACAAACAGAAGCCAACCATGCTCGCCCGCTCCACCACCACCTGCGTGCTGTAGACGATGCACCTTGCGAACGCAAGCAGACCCCCATACAGCTGGTGGGCGGGAAGGGAAGGGGGCAGGGCGGGTGGGGCGGTAGGAAGAAGAGTGCCGTTGTGAAGAAGAGTGCTGTTGTGAAGGAGAGTGCCGTTGTGAAGAAGAGTGCCGTTGTGAAGCAACGGAGCAACTGACCCAAGTGCACTCGCCGCTCCACTAGCATCTGCGTGTCGTGCATGATGTAGCCCCCAGACACCAGCAGCGAGCCATACAGCTGGTGGGCGAGAAGGGGCAGTGAAGAAGGGGGGGGGGGAAGGAAGAGGCCGGTGCGGACAGCATGGAACCCCCCTGGACGACAGAAGCCACCTCCACTCGCGCGCTCCACCACCACTTGCATGTCGTAGACGCGCAGCAGAGGCGGAGAGGACAGACGCGAGGGAGGAACGCAGCACACACCACAGACCACAGACCACACACCACACACCACACACCACAGACCACACATCACACACCACACACCAACGAGTGCACCCACCCGGAGCACACCCACCTCCATTTGGAAGTCAGCGTTGGAGCCGCCGAAGAAGGAGGCGAGGCGGAGGTTGCGCATGGTAGACACTGCGGAGGCGAGCAGGCCCCTCAGGTAGAGGTACTGCCGCCGCCGCGCCAGCAGATACTCCCTGTGCCCCTCAGGTAGAGGCAGCAGTGCTAGGACCAAAGAACAAGTCACGCACCTCGATCTGGAAGACGGCGTTGGAGCCGCCGAAGAAGAAGGAGGCGAGGCGCAGGGTGAGCATGGTGGAAACCGCGGAGGCGAGCAGGCCCCCCAGGTACAGGTACTCCCGCCGCCGCGCCAGCAGTGCCGCCCCTGAGAAGCACAGGAAGATGGCTGCTGTGGCGACAAACGCAGTCACTATCAGGCTGGGGGATGGGCGCAGGCACGCAGAGGAGAGGGGAAAGTAAGGGGCACCTAGGAGGGATACGCAGGGGAGAAGGAGTGAAGGGCCAGCAGCGCCGCCCCTGAGAAGCACAGGTGGACGGCGGATGTGGCGGGAGGGGAAGGGTGGGGGAGGAGGGAAAGGAGAGAGGTCCGGAGTGGAGAGAGCAGAGTGGTTGGGGCAAAGAGCAGCAGTGCTTAGTCTATTTTGAGGCGCTTCAAAAATACACTCCTCATGTCAGGAGAGGAAAGAGCAGAGTGGTTGGGGGGTAACAGGCAGCAGCACGGCTGTGAGAGTGGGAGCAGAGCGAGTGAGAGCGGAAGGCATGGGGGGAGAGCAAGGGCGGTGGGGGGAGAACAAGGGCGGGGAAAGGGGGATGCGGGGAGTGGAAAGGGGAAACGACGTGCGCACAGAGGAGGAGGTCAGCGAGAGGAGAGCGAGAGAAGGCAGGCAGCGCGGAAAGGAACTTTGTAAAGGTTTTGGGGAGGGAGGAAAGCCGGAGGAAGAGGGGGAAGAGGGGGAAGGGGAGAGGGGGGGGGGGGGTGGGGGGAAGAAGGCCCGCAGGAAGTGGGGGAAAAGGGCGTTAGAGCGGTTGACCTGGAATTAGCATACGTGGGGTTGACTATGAGCACCCACGGCAATACCCGGGGTTAACCTGCACTTAGCCTACCCAAATTAACCTGCACTTAGCCTACCCAAATTAACCTGCACTTAGCCTACCCAAATTAACCTGCACTTAGCCTACCCAAATTAACCTGCACTTAGCCTACCCGGGGGTAACCTGCCTTCGCCTACCCGGGGTTGACTTGCGCGACGGCATCGATGAGGGGGCCGATGGAGCAGCCGTGCGAGAAGGCGATGGCGAGCAGCAGGCGAAAGCGAAACGACTGGCGAGATATTCGCGAAAACAGGCGCGGGAAAGAGGGGGAGAGGGTGGGGAAAAAAAAAAAACAGCATAAAAGAAAATGGCGGGTTAGGAGACGAGAGGGAAGACGGACGAACACTTCACAATGCCAGATGGATTACTAGAAAGGAGAAGAAAGAACGGCTCAGAAAAAAAAGGATGCCGGCACGAAAGCAAAACGCGGAAGAGGCGGGAGCAGCGGGCGTGGCGTCGAGGCAGAGCACCCCCGCGATGGACGCTACGGACGAGATCGCACAAGAGCGAGCCTAAGGAGAAGGGAGATCGGAACAACGCACCTCGTTAGCGGGAGTGGCGGGCGTGGCGTTGAGGCAGAGCACCCCCACGATGGACGCGATGGAGGAGATCGCACCTCCGAGGCCCCACAGCACGTGCGCGTACGCGCCGAGCGCTGCGACGACCAGCGTGAGCGACAGCGTCAGGTAGACCTTCTGCAGATGTGACTGTATCGAGGGGGTGAGCACCGAAAAGTTCTTTAACGCGTCGAAGTTAAACGAGGACTGCGCGTCGGAGGCGCGGGAGAAGGACGACGCGCCTGGCCCTGCTGTAGCCGCCATGGCGGAGATACGAAACGGTGGAGAGCGGTGCGATGAGCCGTACTAAAGGTGTCGGCAGAGTACGTTGCTAGTCCCGGGAGCAGAGCGCGGAGAACAAAATGAGTGCTGGATCTGTTTCGGGAGCAAGGAAGCTAAGGAACACCAAGAAGTGGTGCAGGCAACAACAACACTTGGCTGAAGAATTTCCCTTGGGATTGTCGGAGTGTCTTGATTGACTTTGGTTCGGTAGGTACTCAGATTCCTGGGCTACGGGTTCGATTTTATGAACTCGTCGTCACGCCACCTCTGTTGCCCGATTGGGGGAGGGTTTGCTTCGCCTTGCTGGCACTCGGATGGAAAGCGCGGGAATCTTCGACGCTACGAGGAGCCTTCGAGACACCACTGGAGTGTACGAAGCGAGCGAATGTGGTTACTGCACTGTCAGTTTTACAATATAGTAAACACAATTTAGGTTCAGTGAACATTATGGACGCTCAAACTTGAATTGAACACACTTACACTTCTCAACACTGCCAGCATTCAAAAGCAATCACCGCACGCTGTCATCACTCCATCGCAACCCGCCTCATTTTCGCCACCAAGCGAGCTGTGGCTGCATCCAGGGAACCCCCAGCACCACTCTCCTGAGTAATATACTCAGCAAGTCCAGCCTTGGGCGTGGCGAAGCAGGCTTGGAACGTGGCAATAGCGGGTGAGGCTGCTACATACAGCACCGACAGCACGCTGCACAAATACTCTATGTCCGCTGCCAGCTGCTGAGCCCCCCGGTCCGACACCTCGGGAATTGCCCGAATCTGCTCCACAAACAGTGCGGTCGCCCCATCCGCCACCTTCGTCATCCACTCCCGAACAAAATACGCCCCCGCGTCTTCCTCCCCTGCCGCTGTAGGGGTTGCGGATTCCGCACCTGCTGAAGCACTGCTTGCCGAGGCTTGCAGGAGCAGGCTCGGGGCAGCTTCGGAGGCGGCGACGGCGAGAGGTTCGAGCTGCTGGGGGAGCGTGAGGAGGTACTCGCCCACTGCTGTGATGTAGGGTAGGGCGTACGCGTTGAAGGCCGGGAGGTCAAACGCGTTGTCCTCCTCGCCTAGTGCCCAGTCCGGCATGGCTGACACCGAGGAGAGCTGGCGCCGCACCTGGGGGCGGTAGGGAGAGAGGCAGGGATAGAGACAGGCTGTGATGTAGGGTAGGGCGTAGGCATTGAAGGCCAGGAGGTCACAGGCATTTTCCTCCTCACCCAGCGCCCATTCCGGCATGGCCGACACCGAGGAGAGCTGGCGCCGCACCTGGGGGAGGCGGTGGGTGGAGGGACATGTAAAGAGGGGAACGCGTGAGTGGGGTGGTGGGTGGAGGGGGCGAGGCAGCAGCAGAAGTGGAAGGAAAGTAGCACTTGCAGCAGCGGTACAAGGAGAGCGAGGAGAGTGAGGAGAGAGGCCACGAAAGAGGAGAGCGAGAAGGGGGGAGCAACCAGACCTTGGCAATGAGCACATCGTACACCAGCGATGACACCGCTTCCTGGAAGCTTCTAACTCTCTGCGCTGTGCGCGGGAGGGCATGGATGCGCGGATCTCTAAGCTCGTCCAGCAGCCTGGGGGGGCACAGAGGGGGGGGCGAGGGGGAGGAGAGAGAGAGAGAGGAAGATGGGGAACGAGTGGGGAGAGATTAGGGGAGGGCATGGATGCGCAGGTGTGCATGGATTAGGAAGATGCGCGGGTCCCTGAGCTCGTCCAGCGGATTGGTGGGGGGAGCGGGAGGGGGGGATGGGGGAAATGGGGGGAATTGGGGAGAAACAGGGGGGATTGGAAAGACAGTGGGGGGAAGACAGGGGGAGATGGAAAATTGGGAGGGTTCGGGTTTCGGGGGGTTCGGGTTTGGGGAGTTCGGGTTTGGGGGGGTTCGGGTTTCGGGGGGTTCGGGTTACGGGGAGTTCGGGTTTGGGGGGGTTGGGGTTTTGGGGGGTTCGGGTTTCGGGGGGTTCGGGTTTTGGGGGGATCGGGTTTTCGGGGGCTCGGGTTTTCGGGGGCTTGGTTTTTGGGGGGGCTCGGGTTTTTGGGGAGTTCGGGTTTTGGGGGGTTCGGGTTTTGGAAGGTTCGGGTTTTGGGGGGTTCGGGTTTTGGGGGTTTCGGGTTTCGGGGGGTTCGGGGTTTGGGGGGTTCGGGTTTGGGGGGTTCTGGTTTGGGGGGTTCGGGTTTGGGGGGGCTCGAGTTTCGGGGGGCTCGGGTTTTGGGGGGTTCGGGTTTCGGGGGGTTCGGGTTTCGGGGCGTTCGGGTTTTTGGGGGTTTCGGATTTTTGGGGTTCGGGTTTTTGGGGGTTCGGGTATTGGGGGGTCGGGTATTGGGGGGTCGGGTATTGGGGTTCGGGTATTGGGGGATCTGGTACTGGGGGATGGGGTACTAGGGGATGTTGTTTTGGGGGATGGGGTAATGGGGGATGGGGTATTGGGGGATCGGGTATTGGGGGATCGGGTATTGGGGGATCGGGTATTGGGGGATCGGGTATTGGGGGATCGGGTATTGGGGGATCGGGTATTGGGGGATCGGGTATTGGGGGATCGGGTATTGGGGGTTCGGGTATTGGGGGATCGGGTATTGGGGGATCGGGTATTGGGGGATCGGGTATTGGGGGATCGGGTATTGGGGGATCGGGTATTGGGGGATCGGGTATTGGGGGATCGGGTATTGGGGGATCGGGTATTGGGGGATCGGGTATTGGGGGATCGGGTATTGGGGGATCGGGTATTGGGGGATCGGGTATTGGGGGATCGGGTATTGGGGGATCGGGTATTGGGGGATCGGGTATTGGGGGAGGTTGTGGGAGGGCGTGGATGCGCGGGTCCCTGACCTCGTCCAGCAGCCCAGTGGGGGGGGCGGAGAAGGATGGACGACGGGGAGGAGAGACAACGAGAGGAAGGAATGGGCAGTCGTTGAGCAAGAGAAGGATGGCAAAACCTGTAGGGATACCTTGACCAACTACATTCGCACGCAGCCCTCCTTCGCCCCTCACTCACCTGGCCAGTCTCTGAGCCTTGTCCGGCTACTGTGCCAGCGGCAGGACCGCCACATCTACCTCACTCCCCTCCAATCCCTCTCCCTCTTGACCTGCAAGGTGTTTCTGAGCATTCTCAACAACAGCCTTCGCTCCTTTCGCTCCTTCGCTCCTTCGCTCCTTCACTTCTCACCTGGCCAATCGCTGTGCCTTGTCCGGGTACTCTGCCAGCCTCAACACCGCCACATCCACCTCACTCCCCTCCATTCCTCCCCCTCCCCCCCCTCCCCCACCAACCGACCCCACTCTCCTCACCTCCCCCCCCACCCCATCCCCCCCCCCTTCCCCCAAACCCTCCCTCTCAGCAGCGAGACCCAGGCGGGCGGACAGCTGAGTGAGAGAACTGCGGAGTGACGCCTCGAAGACAGAGACCCGCATGGCGACGCTCTCTGCTACCATCAGCAGCTGCAGCGCGCCCTGCACCACCGCCCACTCCTCCTCCTCCTCCACCCCCCCCACCCCCCCGCCTCCATACCCCGCCGGGTCGGGTAAGCCCGCCAACGGATCGTCGGCCGTCGAGGCAGTTGGGACGGAGGTTTGGTCCGAGCCTGAGCCGGAGGTTCGTGTAGGGGCGGAGGGGGTGGCGGAGGGAGCAGGAGTGGGAGGGGGGGGAGGGGAGAGGCCGCAGATGGGCGGGAGGGAGTGGAGGCAGGAGGAGAGGCGGGCGAGGAAGAGCAGGAGCGAGTGGTCGAGGGACGAGAGCAGCGCAGCTGCCTCGGAGCCCCCTGTGAAGGCCAGGCACCGCTCCACCGCTGCTTCTAGTGCTGCTATGGCCAACGGGATGGCGGACTGGGGGAGGGGGAAGGGGGGGAAGTGGGGGGAAGGGAAGAGAGAAAGGGTGGGGAGGTTGATGGATTAGCAACGGGAGGAGAGCAGCACGGCTGCTTCTGTGTCCCCTGTGAAGGCCAGGAACTGCTCCACAGCTGCCTCCAGCGCTGATATGGCCAATGGGATGGCGGACTGGGGGGTGAGTGGTGTGTGGGGGGGGGAGAGGGGGGGAAGAGAGGAGAGGGAATGGCAAGACGAAGCTAGTAGTTTGAGACGGGGTTGTTGAGGCGCTGCAGAGGAGAGCAGCTTGGCAGCAGGAGACGGCTCCTTTTCATCCCACCTTCATGTCCCTCACAGCATCTCCCCCTGCCCTTCCCACTCGTACCTCCATGCGCCTGGCGGTGCCCGCTAGCACGAGCCTGCGCTGCCCCACTTGCCTCCTCTCAGCCTTCCAATCCACTCTGCGTCAACCCAGTTGCACCCCCCCCCTCCCACCGTCCCCCCCTTTTCCGTTCCCCTCTCACCTCCATGCGTCTGACAGCATCAGCCAGCACGAGCCCGCGCTGCCCCACTTGCTTCACTGCACCGCCCGGCCGCAGGTCGATGCCGCCCAGGTCGAGCGCCAGCTGTGCGCGCTCGTAGTCCCCGTACCGCTGCTTGAAGGGCTCGAACGGCCGCACCACCGCCCACACCACGGCACGCACGCTTGCCGGCGCTTCCCCCCCTTGCTCCTCCCCCTCCCCGTCCCTCCCGTTGTTCTTGCTCCCCTTCTCCCCTCTTCCTGCTGCTCCGGTTTCCTGGGTGGTTTTCTCAGTAGACGAGGACAGGGGAGAGGGCTTGGTGGTAGCAGCAGTGGTGGTGGTGGTGGTGGAGTGGGGGGTCTGGTGGGAAGGCAGGGAGGAGAGGAGGCGGGAGAGGTTGCGGGCGAAGGTGGTGGTGGTGGCGTGCAGGGCCAGCAGCAGAGCCAGGCGCGTGGATGGGCGGGACTGCGACTGAGATGCTGCTGCGGCAGGGAGAGGGAACCACATGGGGGAGACAGAGCGGCACGAGGAGTCAAGACCGTCAGCAGAAGGAGGCGAAGGAGTCAAGAGGGGTAAAGGGGGTGGCAGTTGGCAGTGTGAATGACTTTGCGAAGACAGAGCCTCCCTACGCACACTCATCCCCTCCCTACCTGTCTCGCCAGCAGAACCAGGAGCGTTACTGAGAGCAGCAAGGGCAGCATCGGACACAGCAGCGTCGATGCGAGCAGTGAAGCTGTTTGACAGCCCGTCCCAGGTGGCAGCGAGAAGGCGCAGCAGCAGCGACGCCGCCTGGTGGGGGAAGGCGGCCACGCACCACCGCGCCTCCTGCTCCACTGCCAGCAGCATCTCGTCGTACCAGTGCGGTAACCACTCGGGGAATTGTAACGCTGCTGCCAGTGGGCCTGGTGGTGGTGGGAAGAAAGGGCGGACAAAGAGGGAATCAGGGAAGGCCACCACGCACCACCTGGCCTTCTGCTCCACTGCCAGGAGCATCTCGTCGTACCAGTGCGGTAACCACTGGGGAATTGTAACGCCGCTGCCAGTGGGCCTGGTGGTGGGGAGTGGGGAGGGAGGAAGAGGGAAGCAGGGAGGGCCTGGTGGTGGGGAGGGGGGAAAAAAGCAAGCGGGAAGCAGAGAGAAGGAGGGAGGAATGAATTGGAGGGGGGAAGTCCTGTCGAAAGGGCCCTCAACGAAATAGTGCTTGTGCTGCCTGGTGGGGCGTCTCAGCAGGCACCACCCCCACTCCTGTTCCACTGCCTGGTGCGGTAACCACCCAGGGAATTTGCTACGCTGCTGCCAGGAGGGCTGCTCAGACGCTTGCCAGAGAGGCTCACACGCTTGGCTGACCGGCTCACACACTTGGCGCAGCGCCTCAGACGTCCCACAGCCAACGCCCGACAGCCGACGCCTGACAGCCGATGCCCGACAGCCGATGCCCGGCAGCCGACGCCCGACAGCCGACGCCCGACACCACGCCCGACAGCCGACGCCCGACAGCCGACGCCCGACAGCCGACACCCGACAGCCGACGACCGACAGCCGACGCCCGACAGCCGACGATAGAAGAGAGGGAGCTACAGCCCTACACCCACGTGTACTCTTGCCCACTCACCAGCTCCCTGCGCCACTGCAGTGACCTCGAATTGCTCCCACAGGCGTGTGAGCGGACGGCAGCGCACGATGCAGAAAAGAGCCTCCACCGTGTGGTGGCGGCCGATGGCCACCAGGATGGCGGTTAGGGAGCGACACGAGTCCAGCTGAAGGGAGGGACGAGCGCGCACACAGGAGGGACACGCGCGCACACAGGAGCGACACGCGCGCACACAGGAGCGACACGTGCGCACACAGGAGCGACACGCGCGCACACAGGAGGGTGACGGGTGGGACAGAGCATGGGAAGGTGCGTCAGGGGTGGCAGCACAGGGGTGGCAGTACACAACACAGCACATGGCAGCGCACAATGCAGAAGAGAGCCTCCACGGTGTGATGGCGCCCCAAGGCCACCAGGATGGCAGTTTTAAGAGCGACACGCGTCCAGCTGAAAGGGGAGCTGTGGAGAGGGACAGGATGGCTTGGGAAGAGTGGGCCGGGAGCAAAGGGCACCGCTTTGAGGTGCGTCACGGCTGGCAGAAGAGGGGGTCCTGAAGAGTGAAAGGATTCGAGGCACGGATGTAGGTGAGTTGGAAGGTGCGTCCGGAATGCAAGTGCTACTTATGAAACATGACTTGCGCACCACGCACCACGCATCAAGCACTCACAGTGCACGACAATCCACACACCTTGCTGTGCGTGAGTTTATCTGACAGCCAGCCAGCCAGCCAGCCAGCCAGTCAGCCACCCACCCACCCTCTGCTCTAGCGGAACCTCCAGCGACCCATGTATCGAGGACTGTGTATCACGCCGCATTTAGTGTGCACCCCGCATCATGCATTCAGAGTGCACCATGCATTCAGAGTGCACCATGCATTCAGAGTGCACCATGCATTCAGAGTGCACCATGCATTCAGAGTGCACCATGCATTCACAGAGTGCACCATGCATTCAGAGTGCACCATACATACATCCAGCTGACTTTTGAGTCGACTCAAAAGTCACTCGCAGTGCATGGCCATCACCCCACCTTGCAGTGCGCGAGCACGTCTGACAGCCGAGGCTCCACCATCTGCTTGAGTCGGTCCTCCAACTACGCATCAAGCACTCACGATGCACACTGCATCACCCCACCTTGCTGTGCGTGAGCGCGTCCGACAGCCGTGGCTGCACCATCTGCTCAAGCCGGTCCTCCAGCGACTGCAGCTGCCGCTTGTTGGCCGCAAACTCAGGCGCCTGGCGGGTGGGTGGGTGCGTGGGTGGGTGGGTGGGTTGTGAGGAAGAAAGGAGGGCAAAGGGAGGGTAAAGGCGGCTGCACCATCTGCTCCAGTCGGCCCTCAAGAGCCTGCAGCTGCCGCTCGTTGGCCGCAAACTCAGGCGCCTGGAAGGTGGGTGGTTGGGTGGCGGAAGGGGAAAGGGGATGAAAGGGTGGATATAGCTGCACCTGCACCTGCTGCTTATCTGCTGCTTATCTGCTGCTTATCTGCTGCTTATCTGCTGCAAACTCAAGACAGTGGGGGTTGGATGGGAGGTGGGCCGGGGGGTGATTTTGGAAAAGAAGGGGTGAAGGGAGAAAAAGGCTGCAGCTGCTGCTTGTTCGCTGCACACTCAGGCGCTGGCGGGCGGGGGGAGGGAAGTGCAAGATGAGAGGAAAGATCGGGGAGATACCAAGGGAGAGGTCTGAGAGAGCGAGGGAGGGGGAGGGTGGAGCCAGCGATGCAGGCAAAGGTGGAAGCGCCTTAGACTCTCGGCTAGAGCCAGGGAGGCCGAGCAAGCTTGCCTCTAGGCTCTAGGTGCTGGCGATCCCTCATATCTCACGCCCACATATCCCTTGCCCACATATCCCTTGCCCACATATCCCTTGCCCACATATCCCTTGCCCACATATCCCTTGCCCACATATCCCTTGCCCACATATCCCTTGCCCACATATCCCTTGCCCACATATCCCTTGCCCACATATCCCTTGCCCACATATCCCTTGCCCGCATATCCCTTGCCCACATATCCCTTGCCCACATATCCCACGCCCACATATCCCTTGCCCACATATCCCACGCCCACATATCCCTTGCCCACATATCCTATGCCCAGATATCCCACGCCCACATATCCCTTGCCCACATATCCCTTGCCCACATATCCTATGCCCAGATATCCCACGCCCACATATCCCTTGCCCACATATCCTATGCCCAGATATCCCACGCCCACATATCCCACGCCCACATATCCCACGCCCACATATCCCTTGCCCACATATCCCTTGCCCACATATCCCTTGTCCACATATCCCACGCCCACATATCCCACACCCACATATCCCTTGCCCACATATCCCTTGCCCACATATGCCTTGCCCACATATCCCGTCCAAGAACGACCGTCCAAGAAGAAGGAGAGCAGGGAGCAGCATACCACCCCTGACAGGCAACACTGAGGATGGTGGGGGGCAAGGTGCGGAGCAACGTGGGAGCAGCGGGCGTCATGCGAGCAGCGGGCGGCATGCGAGCACAAGAAGAAGCGGCAGTGAGGTAGGGAGGCACTCACGTCGCCGACCACTTCCAGGCAGCGCCGCATGTTGGCCAATGTCTCGGCGACACGTGGCAGGTCGCCACTGGCGAACACCTGCTCCACTGATGCGCTCAGCTGCGCCAGGCCCGCCGCATACTGTGGGGTTGAAACCAGGTGGGTGGGTGGGTAAGAGGAGTGGGGGGGAGCAGGGGGTGTAGGGAGGGGATGGAAATGAGAGGGGTGAGGGACGAGTGGCGAACACCTGTTCCACGGACGCACTCAGCTGCACCAGCCTGCCGCGTACTGTGGGGAGAGGGGTGCAATGAAGGGAGATTGAGATGGGAGAGAGCACATGAGGAGGCAAGAGGGCAGAGAGGGCAGCACGGAGAGGCAGCCACTGGCGAACACCTGCACCTCTGACGCACTCAGCTGCAACAAACCTGCTGCGCACTGTGGGGTGAAGGGGGGGGGGGGGGGGGATGTGAGGGAGGGGTGTGTGTGAGGGGGGAATGTGTGGGGGGGGGGGAGGGCAGGGAGGGCAGGAAAAGGGGAGCATGAGGAGGAGCGGATGCGGAAGAAAGTGAGGGGTGATGGAAGCGTAGAACACAAGAGGGGAACTGAACAGTCGCTACAATGTCAGCTCTGAGGGGAACGGAACTTTTGAGTCCTCTGAGGTTCTGAAAATACAGTCCTTTTGAGTCCTCTGAACAGTCGCTACACTTTCCTCTGACGTTCTGAAAATACAGTAGAGAGAAGCATGCTAGCTGGAGCGTGCCTGAAGCTGCCTCCATCTGCTGCCTCACTGGAACCACCTTGTGAGTGCGCGTGAGTGCACGTCTTGCTTGCTGCAGAGCCTGCAGCTCAACCGCACAGCAAGAGTTCCCATGTGCGCGTACCTGGAGCGTGTCCCTGGCGGCCTCCATCTGCTGCTTTACCGCATCCACCTTCGCCAGCACCGCCACTGATGCTGCTGACGTGGCCTCCACCTGATGCAGCACAGGGCAGGACAAAACAAGACACGCACACAGACACACAGCCACATGCACTGAGTTGGTCTCCCTCTCCCCCCCCTCCTCCCTCCTGCTGCACTCGGTTGGTCTTCCTCACCCCCCTCTCCCCTCTCCCCCCTCCCCCCCTCCCCCCCTCTTCCCCCCCCACCCCACCTGCTGCAGGCGTTGCAGGATGCCTCCAACGGTCCCTTTGAGCGACACCGCATCGTCGCGCACGCGGTTGGTCTCCCTCTCCCCCTCTCCCCCTCTCCCCCTCTCCCCCTCTCCCCCTCTCCCCCTCTCCCTCTCTCCCCCTCTCCCCCTCTCCCCCTCTCCCCCTCTCCCCATCGTCCCCTCTCTCCCTCTCTCCCCTCTCTCATCTACCCCACCTTTCCCCGGCTCTCCCCCCCCCACCTGCTGTAGGCGCTGCAGGATGCCTCCAACGGTCCCTTTGAGCGACACGGCGTCGTCACGCACGCGGTTCGTCTCCCTGACTGCGCGCGGCACTCGCAGCAGTGCGCCCGCGCTCTGCTCCTCCAACGCGCCCGCCATGTCCTCTGTATAGGCGCACAGACGCACAGACGCACAGACGCACAGCCACACAGACACACAGAGACACAGAGACACAGAGACACAGGAACAGTCATTCGGTTGGTCTCACTCACGGCGCGCGGCACTCGCAGCAGCGCGCCCGCGCTCTCCTCCTCCAACGCGCCCGCCATGTCCTCTGCACAAGGACGCGCACAACAGACACAGAAACACAGGAACAGACACACGGACACACGGCAACGCAGAGGCACAGTCACTTAGTTGGTCAGCTCGGTTGTCCTGTGCTTTGTTTCTCTGTGGCACGCAGCAGCGCACTTGCACTCTGCTCCTCCAACGCGCCAGCCATATCCTCTGTATAGGCGCACAGATGCACAGAAACACAGAAACACAGGAGCACAGGAGCACAGGAGCACAGGAGCACAGGAACAGACACACGGAAACATGAAGACGCAGAGGCACAGTCACTTAGTTGGTCGGCTCGGTTGTCCAGCGCTTGTTTCCTTGCAGCACCCGCAGCAGTGCGCTTGCATTCTGCTCCTCCAACGCGCTGCTCGTGTCCTATGCACGACAAGCAACAGAACTATGGTTCAAGGAGATTTCGCTACGCTACCCCTGTCTCACTACCCTACCTACCCCCGTCTCACGACTCTACCCCCCTCTCACAACTCTACCCTGGTCTCACTATAAGCATGGCGATCACAGGCAGCAGAATGAAACAGGAACACTCGACTCGCCAGCTCTGGCTGCAGAAACGAAGACATGCAGATCAGACTGAGTTGGATTCCTGCGTGACTGACGGATTCCGGCGTCACTGACAAATTATGACGTCACTGACGGATTTCAGCGTCACTGACGGATTCCGGTGTCACTGGCGAATTTTGACGTCACTGACACCGGAGTAACTGACGAATTCCGGCGTCACTGACGGATTCCGGCAACACTGACGGATTTTCTCGGCGTCATTGACTGATTCTGTCATCTCTAACGAATCTGACTCACTCACGGATTCCGGCGTCACTGACGGATTCGGGCATCATTGACAGATTCCGGCGTCACTAACGGATTTTCGGCGTCACTGACACCGGCGTAACTGACGAATTCGGCGTCACTGACGGATTCTGGCGTCACAAACGAATTCTGGCGTCACTGACGGATTCCGGCGTCACTGACGGATTCTGGCACTACTGACGGATTCCTACGTCTCAGACAGGTTCCTACATGACGGATTCCTCTGTCGTCGCCGGATCGCTGCATCATCCCCTGGGATTGCCGTACCCGATAAGAGCTGCAGCTTCATTTCGATGTCCGCGAGAAACTTCTCCGGAGGTTCCTCTGGCGGGAGCGCGGCGCAGGCATCGTTGACCCACGCCTTGGGGTCGAAGCGCTCGTCCGCGAACGTGCTCAGATCCACCAGCATGATTTCTGACGCGCCAATGCTTGTCGAGAATCGTCAAAGCTTGTCGAGAATCGTCAATGCTCGTAAAAAAATCGACAATGCTCGCCCGACGCCCACACACCGCCGAATGCGGAGCTCGACGGGAAAAACGAACTGTAGTTTTAGTTTCAGCGAGGATCAGTTAGTTTAGCTCCGGCCGAGAGTGTGGGTCGGAGAGGCGATACTTGCACTCCGACAGAAATACGTACGGAGGAGAGGAGCTACTAGTACTACCACTAGTACCAATGGGGAGAGGATCTGTACTAATCTATGGCGATGTCAGCAGATACAGTAGTACCCGTCTGTCATATGTCAGAGCATGCCCGCCTGCAGCTCCCTTGGAATCATTGCTACCAGAAAAGAACAGATTAGTCACATTGTAAACTGTCCTCGCTTTCAGCAAGTCGTCGGTAATAAAGAGGAACAGATCCCCTCATAATATAAACGTACATAATAAATAATTTAATGAGGCACCCCCAAGAGATATACCGTATCAGAAAAAAAAATGCCATAAGTCATCATCATGTATCTAATCTCCAGATGGAGATTTGCCTCAGGTGATTTTAAATTAGACCACTTTCAACTCCCATGCAACATTGCAAAAACCCCATATGCATGAAACTTCGTGAAACCACAAAGCACATTGTGATGAAACTTTCCTTAAGGTCTGCTGTGTTGAACGAAGGACACTAGGAAGCCATGGAATGGCACGAGGGTTTAGGCCAGGAGAGGAAGTTGACGAGAGAAAAGAGAGCGAGAGAGAGGGATACAAGGAGGGGGGTTGTACCCTCTACAGTAGGTTTCCGTAACACCTACCAAGCCTACCAATTATATATCAAAGACATAATTTAACACACCCCCTAGGCTTGGTAGCCGAAAGCACACCACACACGGGACACTAAGCCACACACACCCCCTAAATCTAGCACCCCCATACTCAGTAGCAGCGACGGCCACACCTCCCCCCGGTCAACCCCTCGGCGCGTGAGGCGGCGAAGTCGACAGCAAGGGCTGCGGCGGCGATGGCGGCAGCGGCGGCAGCGTCAACAGCGGCGGCGGCGGCGGCGGCGTGCGGCGGCGTGGCCCCAACGCAAGCGGCGACAGCTTCGACAACAGCGGCGGCGGCGGCGGCGGGGCTCGCAGCACTCGGCGGCGTGGCCGGGCTCCGCGACGGTGGGACAGCCAGTGGGAGGCAGCCATCGGCTGCGGCGAGGAAGAGGGGACGCAGGGAAGGGGGGCGGGGCTTCTGCAAGACGCCCGTGGCTGGCGTGCGGGCGTCAGGACCAGCGGCGCCAAGACGTTACGCGACCCGCTGCCGCCACTGCAGGGCACTCACTGCAGCGCACTCACTGCAGGGCAGTCACTGCAGTGCACTCACAGCAGGGCACTCACTGCAGGACACTCACTGCAGAGCACTCACTGCAGAGCACTCACTGCAGTGCACTCACTGCAGGGAACTCACTGCAGGGCACTCACTACTGGGCATTCACTGCAGTGCAGTCACTGCAGGGCACTCACTGCAGGGCACTCACTGCAGTGCACTCACTGTAGGGCACTATGTGCAAGGCACTCAGTGCATTGCACTCAGTGCAGTGCACTCACTGCAGAGCACTCAATGCAGGGTACTCACTGCAGGGCACTCACTGCAGGGCACTCACTGCAGGGCACTCACTGCAGGGCACTCACTACAGGGCCCTCACTACAGGGCACTCACTGCAGGGCACTCACTGCAGGGCACTCACTGCAGAGCACTCACTGCAGAGCACTCAATGCAGGGTACTCACTGCAGGGCACTCACTGCAGGGCACTCACTGCAGGGCACTCACTGCAGGGCACTCACTACAGGGCCCTCACTACAGGGCACTCACTGCAGGGCACTCACTGCAGGGCACTCACTGCAGTGTACACAGTGCAGTGCATTCACTGCAGTGCAGTCACTGCAGAGTACTCACTCCATTCCACTCACTGCAGGGCACTCACTGCAGTGCACTCACTGCAGGGCACTCACTGCAGTGCACTCACTGCAGGGAACTCTCTGCAGTGCACTCACTGCAGTGCGCTCACTGCAGGGCACTCACTGCAGTGCACTTACGGTAGTGCACTCTCTGCAGTGCACTCACTGCAGTGCACGCACTGCACTGCACTCACCGCAGGGCACTCACTGCAGGGCACTCACTGCAGGGCACTCATTACAGGGCACTCGCTGCAGGGTACTCACTGCAATTCACTCACTGCAATGCACTCACTGCAGGGCACTCACTGCAGTGCACTCACAGCAGCGCACTGTCACCAGGGCACTCAGTGCAGTGCACCCACTCTAGTGCACTCACTGCAGGGCACTCACTGCAGTGCACTCACTGCAGTGCAGTGGACGGTGGACGGTGGAAGGTGGACGGTGGACACCGTCCACCGGTGGTAGCTGGTGGATGGTAAAGGCCGTCCACCGGTGGGCGGTAAACGCCGTCCACCGGTGGGTGGTGGACGGTGGACGGTGGACGCCATCCACCGGAGAATGATGGACGCCGTCCACTGGTGGGCGGTTGACGGTGAACGGTGGATGGTTGACGGTGGACGCCGTCCACGGGTGGGCAGTGGACGGTGGGCAATGGACGGTGGACAGTGGATGGTTGACGCCGTCCACCGGTGGGCGGTGGGCGGTGGACGGTGGACGGTGGATGCTGTCCACCAGTGGGCGGTGGACGGTGGACGGTGGGGGCCGACGGTGGATGCCGTCCACCAGTGGGTGGTGGATGGTGGATGGTGGACATTGGAGGGTGGACGGTGGCCGCCGTCCACCTGTGGACGTTGGACGGTGGACGGTGGATGGCGTCCACCGGTGGACGTTGGACGGTGGACGGTGGACGCCATCCATCGGTGGATGGTGGACAGTGGGCGGTGGACGGTCGACGCCGTCCACTGGTGGGCGGTGGACGGTGGATGGTGGACGTCGTTCACTGATGGAGGGTGGACGGTGGGCGGTGGGCGGTGTGTGGTGGACGGTGGGCGGTGGGCGATGGGCGGTGGGCGATGGGCGGTGGGGGGTGGGCGGTGGGGGGCGGGCGGCGGGGGGCGGTGGGCGATGGGCGGTGGGTGATGGGCGGTGGGCGATGGGCGGTGGGCGGTGGGCCGTGGGCCGTGGGCGGCGGTGGGCGGGGGACGGTGGACGGTGGGTGGTGGCCGGTGATGGGTGGTGGGCGGTGGATGGTGGGCGGTGGGCGGTGGGCGGTGGCGGTGGGCGGTGGCTGTGGGCGGTGGGCGGTGGGCGGTGGGCGGTGAGCGGTGGGCGGTGGACGGTGGGCGGAGGACCGTGGACGGTGGGCGGTGGACGGTGGGCGGTGTGCGGTGGCGGTGTGCGGTGGAGGTGGGCGATGGAGGTGGGCGGTGGGCGGTGGGCGGTGGGCGGTGGGCGGTGGGGTCTGGGCTGTGGGCGGTGGGCGGTGGGCCGTGTGCGGTGGGCGGTGTGCGGTGGGTGGTGGGCGGTGGGCGGTGGACGCTGGGCAGTGGGCAGTGGACGGTGGGCGGTGGACGGTGGACGGTGGGCGGTGGGCAGTGGCGGTGGGCGGCGGCGGTGGACGGTGGGCGGTGGCGGTGGGCGGTGGGGGTGGGCGGTGGGCGGTGGGGGTGGGCGGTGGACGGTGGGCGGTGGGCGGAGGGCGGTGGGCGGTGGGCGGTGGGCGGTGGCGGTGGGCGGTGGGCGGTGGGCGGTGAGCGGTGGGTGGTGGGCGGTGGACGGTGGGCGGAGGACCGTGGACGGTGGGCGGTGGACGGTGGGCGGTGTGCGGTGGAGGTGGGCGATGGAGGTGGGCGGTGGGGTTTGGGCGGTGGGCGGTGGGCGGTGGGCGGTGGCGGTGGGCGGTGGGGGTGGGCGGTGGGCGGTGGGCAGTAGGCGGTGGGGGTGGGCGGTGGGCGGTGGGCGATGGGCGATGGGCGGTGGGCGGTGGGCGGTGGGCAGTGGGCGGTGGACGGTGGACGGGCGGGGCGCGATGGGCAGTGGGCGATGGGCGATGGGCGGTGGACGGTGGACGGGTGGTGGGCGGTGGGCAGCGGGCGGTGGGCGGCGGGCCGTGGACGGCGGGCGGTGGGCGGTGGGCGGTGGCGGTGGGCGGTGGCGGTGGGCTGTGGGCGGAGGACGGCGGGCCGTGGGCGGTGGGCGGTGGGCGGTCGGTCGTGGGCGGTGGGCGGTGGGCAGTGGGCCGTGGGCCGTGGGCCGTGGGCGGTGGGCGGTGGACGGTGGGGGGTGGGCGGTGGACCGTGGACCGTGGGCGGTGGGCGGTGGACGGAGGGCGGTGGGCGGTGGGCGGTGGACGGTGGGCGGTGGGCGGTGGACGGTGGGCGGTGGGCGTTGGGCGGTGGGCGGTGGGCGATGGGCGGTGGGCGGTGGGCGGTGGGCGGTGGGCGGTGGACGGTGGGCGTTGGGCGGTGGGCGGTGGGCGATGGGCGGTGGGCGGTGGGCGTTGGGCGGTGGACGGTGGGCGGTGGGCGATGGGCGGTGGGCGGTGGGCGGTTGGCGGAGGGCGGTGGGCGGTGGACGGTGGGCGGTGGGCGGTGGGCGGTGGGCGTTGGGCGGTGGGCGGTGGGCGGTGGCGGTGGGAGGGGACGGTGGGCGCTGGGCGGTGGGCAGTGGGCGGTGGGCGGTGGGCGGTGGACGGTGGGCATTGGGCGGTGGGCGGTGGGCGGTGGGCGGTGGGCGGTGGGTCGTGGGCGGTGGGCGGTGGGCAATGGGCGGTGGGCGGTGGGCAGTGGACAATGGGCGGTGGGCGGTGGGCGGTGGGCGGTGGGCGGTGGAGCGTGGGCGGTGGGCGGTGGGCGGTGGGCAATGGGCGGGGGGCGGTGGGCGGAGGGCGGAGGGCGGTGGGCGGAGGGCGGAGGGCGGTGGGCGGTGGCGGTGGGCGGAGGGCGGTGGGCGGTGGACGGTGGACGGTGGGCGGTGGGCGGTTGGTGGTGGGCGGTGGGCGGTGGACGGTGGGCGGTGGGCGGTGGCGGTGGGCGGTGGGCGGTGGGTGGTGGCGGTGGGCGGTGGGCGGTGGGTGGTCGGTCGTGGGCGGTCGGTCGTGGGCGGTCGGTCCTGGGTGGTCGGTCCTGGGCGGTCGGTCTTGGGCGGTGGGCGGTGGGCGGTGGGCGGTGGGCGGAGGACGGTGGGCGGAGGACTGTGGACGGTGGGCGGTGGGCGGTGGGCGGTGGGCGGTGGGCGGTGGGCAGTGGGCGGTGGGCGATGAACGATGGGTTGTTGGCGGTGGACGAAGGGGTGGTGGGCGATGGGCGAAGGGGCGGTGGGCGGTGGGCGGTGGGCGGCAGGCGATGGATG